GAAGAAGAAGAAGAAGAAGAAGAAGAAGAAGAAGAAGAAGAAGAAGAAGAAGAAGAAGAGGAAGAAGAAGAAGAACCTACTAGTTTTGGTTAGAAAAATCTGGGTTTCCTCTTCAGCTCTGCCATTTTGTCATGTGACAAAGGGACAGGTGGCAAAGCTGTGGCTCCTTTCTGCTACATCAAGATAAATGGCTCCAGCTGGAACTGTCTGGGCCTGCCAGAGCAGGTCAACAAAACATGGGCTTCCTCTCTGTCTCTCCTTCCCTCCTCCCTCCCTTTTTCTCTCCACCCTCTCAAAATGGTTCTCAACCTGTGGGTCTCACCTCCTTTGGGGGGGTCATATGACCTTTTCACAGGGGTCACCTAAGACCACTGGAAAACAGAGATATTTATATTGCGATTCATAATAGTAGCAAAATTACAGTTATAAGGTAGCACCAAAAATACTTTTATGGTTGGGGTCACCACAACACGAGGGACAGTATTAAAGGATCTCAGCGTTAGGAAGGTTGAGAACCACTGCTCTAGATAAATCAACAAATTGTCACCCTGTGTTACACAACTCCTGGGTTTCCTTCTTTCCCCATTTCCCCTGAACCACAGAAACCTAGTCCTAGTACCTTGCTTCTGAAGGGAAAGTCTACCTTGCATGACACACTCCACTACCCTCAGAGGCACCCAGTGGCCGGACCAGGGGCTGATGGCTAGCAGAAGGCACCAGCCACAGCACAGAGCTGTCAGAGGCAGCCTCTGCCCTCTGACAGCAACGTGTGATCCACCCACCCCTGCCTGGCCCATATGAGCAGGGGGAGGGGTCAGGGTCAGCATACCTTGCCAGTCTCTAGAGGAGGTTTTTTGTTTGTGGGTGTGGGCCCAAGCTCACAGACACAGGCTGGGAACATCACTGGTATTGGAAATTCCTGCCTCCCATTGCACCAGGCAATGTCCAATGTGAGATGAGGCAAGAACATCTCTGGCCTGACAAGCAGGGGCCTGGAACTTAGTCCTCCCCGTGTCAAAACCATGCACTTCACAAGTGTCAGTCACAGAGGAAAGCACTGCCCTTCCCGGAAAGGGCTCTTGTGCTCTTTAAGACAAGTCAGCTGTGGGACTAGGGTACAACTCAGCTGAGCACTAAGGTCAGGGGCCCCACAAAAGGTCACCTGGCAGTGCCTTCTAGGGCATCCAGGCAATTAAAAATATGAACCAAACAGTGATAATGACCTTCACCACAAACCAGTTAGGCAAAGAACGGTTCAGACTGTTACAGTGAACCCTCAATGTCACTCAAATGTCCCCACCTCATTTCACAGAGAGGCTAAAGGATGTGCCCACGTTCCCAGACCTGGAGACTGACCTGCCAAATGGCCACACTGGAAAACCTGTGCTCAACAACTTGCTGAAGAGGATGCTGAGTGTGCAGCTGCTGGCGGGTCCAGGGCACAAGGAGCAGAAGCTGGAAGGCCCTTACTCAGGGAAGGGGCTGGCAGGGGCCAGGCAGGTCCCACCCCTATTCCATATGTCACATACTCCAACAGTCACGGCTCTCAGAGGACTGGGGTTCAATTGCTAGACCCACCAGAATCAGTTAACAATCACCTGTTACTGCAGCTCCCAGGGACACAACGGCCCCTTCTGGTCTCTGTGTGCATCTGCCCCCCCCCACAGACACACAGACACACAGACACACACCACCACACACACACACACACACACACACACACACACACACACACACACACAACTGCAACCTAACCTTTAAACCTAACCTTCCTGATATGGGGGTCCCTAGATCTCTTTTTCTGTTCTTCTTCACAGTGTGGTCACACTGAATAAAAATGTCCTTTTTCTCCTTTTGGGCGCTATTAACGTTTATTTACTTGTTTGTGTGCATGTATATGAGCGTGTGTGCATCATGCTGTGGTGTACTTGTGGAAATCGGAGATACTCTGCGGGAGTCTGCTCTTTTCTTTCACCATGTGGACTTTGGGGGTGGCGGTGGGGTAAACCCAGGCCATGAGACTTCAGCAGCAAGTGCTCTGAGCCACTAAGCCATCTCGCTGCCCTCCTTGTCTCTTTAATTGGGAATCCTCCTATCTCAGCCTTTCAAGGGCTGGGATTAGAGGTGTGAGCCAGCACGGCTGGCCTAAGCGGTATTTTTTTTTTATTCTATGTGCATAGATGTTTCACCTGCATGTATGCCTGGGTACCACATGTGTGCCTGGCGTCCAGAAAAGCCAGAGAAGACAGCAGATCCCCTGGGAATAGAGTTATGGCTGGCTGTGAGCCATTGCATGGGTTCTAGGGGTTGGACTTGGGTCCTCTGCAAGAGCTGCCAGGGTACTTGAACCATCTCTCCAGTCTCCTGAATGGTATTTTCAAAGGGACAAACTTGTCTTCTTAAAAACGTCAAATGCTTATAAAGCTGTCATGACTCAAATAGAGAATGAGGTCTGCATTCAGAGAGAGGCCACATGTGTTCATGGGGGGTTTCCTAAGAGCCCCAAAGTGTTAACTAGGAAAGTAGACATAACACAGCTGAGCTGGCCAGTGACTTACACCACAGAGGGATCGGAATGATCACAGGTCAGGCTCTCAAGACTAAATTCTGTGTGATTAAATTCATATGGTGATTCAGAAAAAAAAAAGGGGGGGGGAATAAAGCCATAAAAAAGCAGATGAAGGGGCTGAAGAGAAGGCTCAGAGGTTAAGAGCACCAGCTGCTCTTCCAGAGGTCATGAGTTCAATTTCCAGCAACCACATGGTGGCTCACAACCATCTATAATGAAATCTGTTGCCCTCTTCCAGCATGCAGGTGTACATGTAAACACAACATTGTATACATAATAAACAAATAAATCTTTAAAAAAAACAAAGCCAGGTGTGATGGTACACACCTGTAACCTCAGAACTCGAAAGTTCAAGGTCATCTGGTCTATAAGACCTCACCTCACCTCAAAACAAAAAAACAAAATAAACAAACAGCAGAGAGGTGATTGTCTTAAAGAGCAAAGACAGGCATGGTGGCACTCACCTTTAATCCCAGCACTCAGGGAGGCAGAGGCAGGAGGAGCTCTGTGAGTTCGAGGCCATCCGGGTCTACAGAGTGAGTCCAAGACAGCCAAAGCTACACAGAGAAACCCTGTCTCAAAAAACCAAAATAAATAAATAGATGGGTAAGTAAGTAATTAAGCATGTAAGTAGGTAAGTTAATAGCGAGCAATAGTTGGCTCAACAGCTAAAAGCACTGGCTGCTCTTGCAGAGGACCTGGAATCCGTTCTCAGCACCCACACAGCAGCTCACAACCATCTGAGACTCCGTTCCAGGAGATCCAGTGCCCACCACGGGGATCTGGCCTTGTTGGGCACTATATACATATGGTGCACTTACGTGCAGGCAGGATATTCATACAGGTTAAACAAAAATAAGTAAGCCTCTAAAAAAACAAACAACAAACCGAGGCAAAACAAAAAGAGTAACAAGAACGAACAATAGGTTCTGTGTTGCTAAGAAGGACAAATATGACAGCTTTCAGAAGGTGCAGAGGATTCTGCAACTACTGGCATTTGCCAATAAGGTAAATTACAGCATGTGTATTAAACCAAGTGTCTGTTGACTGTTTAATTATCAGTTTACTTGAAGTTCTGGGACCCAAACCCAGGGCCTCACTTGTGCTAAGCAAGCGTTCTATCCTTAAGCCATGCCCACAGGCACACAGCCTTGTAAGGGCTGTGAAGACCACATACAGACACAGGAACGTGGATCATCCAGTCCTGGGTAAAAGGGCAAAACTTAGTTGTAGTCACACTGACTGCACCACAGACCACAGGGAAACAGGTGAAGCAGAGGAGGAATGGTGAGAGCAGCTGACTTCCACGGGCCGCTGGCCAGCCTCCTTGTCTGCCTTCCTTTCCCACAAACTATCTTTTGCCATAAATCTATGGATTGGTGTCACAGGCCTAGAGAGCATGAAGGAGGGACAGACCCCTCTTCACAGAGAAGGAAAGACAGACACGGAGATGTTTTCCATGCCCAGAGGCTGGGCAGGGCATATCTGACACAGAACCTCTAACACGGAGCCATGCAGGCCCTGACATCCTATAACATGGATCCTGGACCCAACTGCTCCCTACCCAGACTTTGTCTGTAACCTCCCACCTTCCCAGAACCATGGTAAGGTCAACACTCCTTGATAGGCTGTGATACTCCATCTACATGGGGCAAGTGAGGAACTTGGATGCAGCTGTTCAGTGTGCCTCTCTGGCCAGCTGGGATGAAGTCACTAGATCACAGCCTCCCAGCATCCTTTGGTGCTGTGGTACAGTAACTGT